GCCGCCGCGCGGCTCGCTACTGGTGGGCTCTTAAAAAAAAAAAGAAAGAAAGAAAGAAAGAAAGAAAAGGTATACCTCTTTTTATTTTATTTTATTTATTTATTTATTTTTTAGTTTATGTGGTATAAATACTGCCCTCATGGCCAATTTCAAGTTATGCCAGTATAACTTCATTGAATGCAGTAGCCACTATACAGTTTTCCTATCATCAATTACAATATTTAACCTTAAGGTCATAGATAATCGTAATTAGGAAGTGATGGATTATGAATAATTCATTTTAGTATAATTTACTTAACTAAGTTTATGTAATTTTAAAATAAGGCCGATGGGGACCAGCAGATGGCATAATGGTTACGTTACTGGACTTCACGTAGTCAGCTGTTATGTAGAGCATCCAGTCTGAAAACGTGATGAGAACATGTGTCTGAAAGAGGGGACAGTGGATGATTTCATTACACTGTCAGGACATTGGGGAACCACAAATCCAGGGTATGGCTTTACCAGCTGCATTAAAGGAAGTAATGCAACAGAAATCAAAGGGTAATTCTTTCAATTGTGACAGACCAGGACATATGGCCCATGACTGTCGATACCCAAAACAATCAAGGGAATATGCTACCAGAGAACCAAAAGGCCCAACATCTGTGCAGTAGGGGGCATTCTCAATGTTCTTTCAGGGGACGCAAGACAAGTCAATTAGCAGTGTATAGCAGGCCACGGACAATCAGAAATCTCTATCGGGCAACCCCAGGTAGCACAGGACTGAATCTTAGTCCCACCTCCAGGAAGGTATTAACACCTGAAATGAGTCCGTAGGCAATTCCTACTGGAGTTTATAGACTTTTGCCGCAGAATACAGTGGAATTAATTTTAGGAAGAAGCAGTATGTCATTAAAATAATTAGTAGTGACACTTAGTATTATAAATGCAGACTATTCCAGAGGAATTAAGGTTATAGTGTCTACCTCTCAAATTATTCAGCTTCTTAAATTCAAGTGCATAGCCCAATTAGCTTAGTCAATAAAGGATGAGACTCTCAATCCCAAGTCGTAAATTTGTGCCCCACATTGGGCACCACTTTGCCAGAATTAACTCAACATAAACACATTTTTTTATGTAAAAAAGGCTATAAATTTAAAATAAACACAAGAACAAACAAAAACATAAATCTAAAAAAAGAAAAATTAAATGGGCACAACTTCTCTAGTGGAGAAGTTGCAACCAAAACCAACCTCAAATTTATTTTTTTAAATAATTTTTTATTTTATTTATTCATTCAGTTATTTTATATTTATATTTTTTTGGAGAGGTTTTTGCCATAGGGCACGTGCGCTCGCCAGACAGAGACAGAGAGACAGAAAGCGAGAAATCACCCCCCCAGGGGGGATGGCCACGCCACAATCCCTTCTCCTCCATTCTCTCAGGATCTTGGGCATGCACACAAACACGCCCAGCGTGAGTTTTAAGCCCCCGGGTCCAGGACTCAAACCGCGGTCAACTACGTGAGAGTCCAGCGACATAGCCATTATGCTAACTGCTGGTCTCCCATTCATTTATTTTAAATTTGACCAGAGAGAGACACAGAGAAAGTGAGAAAGCAAACCTCCAGGTCTGGGACTCAAACCTTGGTCAGCCATGTAGGAGTGTCCAGCACCTTAACCACCATGCCACCTGCTGGTCCCTCAAATTTATTCTTTTAAGAGACAAAAAATTAAAAAAAAAAAAAATTCAAAGCCAATTATTTTAAAATATAAGTAATCTAAAATAAATAACTAGCACCATATAATTTGTCTAATCTTTAAAAAAAAAGTCTAATAAACACATATAACTTCCTTTAGCCCTAATACTAGGCAGTATCAAAATATTAAATATCAACAAAAAAAACCATTAACAAATACTACTTTTATATGTAAATACTTCTCAATAACCCTACTAAAATAACTTACAAAGCACATTTCTGTGCGTGTCCAAAAGTCACATGTTTTCAAACTAACTACTCTCCACAAACTGTGGTTCGAGCCCCAGACCTGGTGGCTTAAAACTCACACTTGGGCATGTGTGCTTGCATGCCCAAAATCCCAAGAGGAGAAGGGATTGCAGTGTGGCCAGTTCCCCCTCCCCCGTGCTTTCTCACTTCCTGTCTATCTTTCTCCTCTCTGGCAAGCGCACATGCCCTACAACAAACATCTCCCTCAAAAAAATATAAAGGCCCAATATATAACACCTGCTTATGAAACTCCTGAAAACATAACAGCTAGCTGGCACACTGCCATGGTGTTATGCACTGGCTCCAGCACACTGCTGTTTGGTTCTTGACAAGGCAGCGGGAGCCCTGCCTGCCTTTCGGTTTCTGTGGTCCAAGACTTTAGGGTTCCCTAGTTAAGGCTATAGCATGAGCTATAGGACAATACCTTAACTACCATGCCACCCACTAGCCCATTTTTCTTAAAACAATATTTTATTTATGACTATATTTGTTTAGTTTGCTATAATGTGCTTAGCAGACAGAGACAGAGACAGAGGAAGGGAAGCCACCAGGTCCAGGACTCTAATGCAGTCAGTCATGTGGGAGTCCAACATTTCAACCACCACACCACCTGCTGGTCCCTATTTTTCTTTCACAGGGCAGAAAGCACATGAGAGTGAGAAACACCCTTTACAGGATCTCATTGTGTTGTGATCCCCAGCCATTTAGCTCTTCAGGATCCTGGGTGCCTGGTGTTTTCAGGCCAACCCAAGGATCCAACACAGCTTCCAGCCTCGCAGGGCACTTGCATTACAGTGACATAGCCATTACGCCAACTGCAGGTCCCAGGCTTTGGCTTTTCTCACGTCACCTCTGTGAAGGCCAGAGTCTGGCTAGTTCCTCCCCCTGAGGAACGGCATTAGTGACTGGACTAAACTCATCCCTCCACAGAGGCTTTTTTTTTTTTCTTTTGGAGAGGTTTTTGCTATAGGGCGTGTGCGCTCGCCAGAGACAGAGAGATATAAAGCAAGAAATCATCCCCGGGGGCGATGGCCACGCTGCAATCTTTTCTCCTCCATTCTCCTCTTGGGATCTTGGGCACGCACACACACGTGCCCAATGTGAGTTTAAGCCACCCGGTCCAGGACTCGAACCACGGTCTAGCAACATAGCCATTACACTAACTGCTGGTCCCAAGGCTGCTTTTTCTTTACGGAAGAAAATTGAAGTGGGAGACTGATTTTTTTTTTTTTTAAACACCCTACAGGCCCAATATGAGGGCTTGCCTCCTTTAAAAAGAAGAAAATTCACTCATGCAAAAAGTGTTAGATGCAGGGCCTAATTCAGAGCCAGAGAGAGCCTCCAAGCCAGAGGGATGAGGCAACAGAAGCTAAAACAGTTCGAGAACGGCGCGGGGTTTCTGAGAACCCGCTGCTGTCCCTACTGGCGGGGCGTTCCCAGCTCTGCTCTCCACACACCCGACACGACAAAAGACGAGCGACTCCTGTGTCCCAGCTGCGGGGGTTCGGGCTGAGTCG